TCCATGGAGGACCTGTACACCGCATGGGTCAAAAGGAGGGCGGAGAGGATCACTGCAGACCTCTCACACCCTGGACACAATCTGTTTGAACTCCTCCACTCTGGACGGCGTTACAGGTCACTGTGCACTAAGACAACCAGAGAGAGGGACAGTTTCTTCCCCCAGGCTGTCACTCTGATGAACACTTAACCCACGACAGTATGACTGGACAATAACCCTCAGTGCAGTACCTGTGTATATATATATACATTGTTCAGATTATACAGATTTGTACAGGTCTCTAGTACTCTGTTTTAAGTACTCTATTTTTATCCCTAATTATCTAATTTCAATGAACATTCCTTTGTTGTCTGCATTATTTACTGTCTATACTGCTTTTTCTGCATTGTTTGCACTGGTTGTTGACGTTAATACTGCTATTTTGTTATATTACACAGCCATATGCTGGTCTACTGCTTGCACATTGAGAGCCGATGTACCTGAGCCAAATTCCTCGTGTGTCCAACACACCTGGCCAATAAACTGATTCCTAACAGAGCGATATCTTGTTCATGCTTGCACTGTCTTGTTTTTGGGTATTCTTGATCAGTTTTTCAGAAGTCCTTATGGTGTCTGTTGTTTAGTCTCTACTGTTGATATAAGGGTTTTTTTCCCCATTGTGGAATTAATTGTGGGAGTAATATTCTTGTTCTTGATTTCTCCCAAGTGCTATGATTTGTCTTGTTTTTAGGCATCATTGATTTGCTTCTCGGAGGTCCTTATGGTGATAGTTGTTCTTGTGGTGTTTTGTTTGCTCTCTGTTGTGGGATCAATAAAGTCTTATCTTAGGTTAAGCCAACTGCCTATTGAGAGTCATTATTAGGATAAAGCCAACGTTACAAGTCTACAGCTAAAAGCCACAGCTGGGCATTGAAAACATCTGGCAAATTCAGTTCGGACACACTCACATTATCTGAAGTCCTGTGGTGGAGACGAACCGTATCTACTGACGTCCCGCTGTGGTTCCTCATTTAAGCCGCCACTTTGTTTGTTTGTTAGCAAAGCTTCTCTCGCCGTTGCAGCTAAATGGCAAAAATAAACTGTGGTTTCTTTAGTCAAACTTCCTGTTATTTGTTAGCTTGAAAACCTAAGTGCAACTTACCCGTCCACACTTTCACCGAAGGTTTGATAAGTTTTAATCACCCCCACCTGCTCCTCTTCGGAGGGCGGGACCTGATTGATTGATTGACCGTCTGAGTGCAATACATGTTGCAGTACCACCTTTGACCACACAGACTGACGTTTACCAACCGTTACAATTCAGGGGGGCGCTGTTTCTCTCATTTGAAGAAAATAACGAAAATAAGGTGATTAAACGGACAGTTCCATTGTGTATGTGAAATCACTAAATAACACACTAACAGCATGTAAGTAAAAGTGTTGAAGTTTAATTAGTAAAATATAGCAAATTAGAATTACTCAGAAAAATGGTCCCTCCTGTGAACATTATTATATGATTAGATTAGTCAAGACAAGTTCATTGCACATGTTCATACACAAAGGCAACTCAAAGTGCTTAACACAATGCAAAATGCACAAAATGCATACAGATAAAACATTAAAATGCAAATTACATCAAACTAAATGCAAATTAATAGCAACAATTACATGACAGTAAAGAGTAGCAAAATGCAAATGTAGATACCTAGTACTTCTAGGACAGCTGTGGCAGACTGTGGATTCTCACTGCTCTTATTAAACCCTTTACTTAGTCTCCTGAAGACTAACCTCTGAGTGTCACTAGAGGTGGGCCTGCTTTCTTCCAGAAATTAGATTAGACTGTCCTGTGTTGTCAATAAAATAAGAGTTTACTCAAAAATACTCTGCAAGTTTTATCCAGATTTTATCTACTATTCACTGAGCAATGTGGTAAATATGTAAAACAGCCTGGTTTTGTAAGTTTAACTTTTGTGCCATTCTTAAATGTTATTATAAAAAAAATTTATTTATCCTGGATTTACGTTGCATTATCTGTCAATCTGAACTGAAAAATCCAGCAAGTTTAAGCCTGAAGAAAAACAAACACAAATGAAGCTACAATACATTTCTGACTGCCACTGTTAATAAATCAAATTAAAATGATTCAGACCTGTGATCACACAAAATACAGAGCAATTATTTTTTGGAAATCTGTTTATTATATAACACAAGAATACACTAATCATAGATCTGAAACTTCAGCAATTTTTAAAGACAAAGTGAGATTACTTAAATGTAAGCACAGAACAGAAGAGAAATGCAGCATATATATATATAACAGGAATAATAAAATATTTATTTAAAAAAAGATTTTCACTCATTTCCAGTGTAATCGGTAATTTGTTAAGATTTTTTTGACTGATAAATTTGTTTCCATTTTTATAAATGTAAATGTAATACAAACAAAGGCAGAAGATGAATGAAAATCCTGATTTCCTGGCGCATCATTAACTGTTTGGACCTTGAATACAGTCTCCTGATGTTTGATTGTGTGGTGTTAACCTGTGACAGGTGATGTCATGTTTCTTGTTTTACAGATGATTCAAAATCTTTCTTCACCTTAACACCCTCAGTCAGAACCAGGTCACATTCAACTGAAAACACCAAGTGCACATCACTCCTGTGTCAAAGCTGTGTCTTTAACTTCTCATAATTCGGTTAAATCTCATGATTTTCTTAATTAAACACTGGTTTTGCTTGGCCGTATACGTTTCCTTTAATTCATGCCTGCTCTTTTCATTTTGTAAAATTTTTGATTTTAGTTTTTGAATCAAACAAAAACAGAGAAGAATAAATCTGTGACCACTTAAAGATGCGATGTGCACGCTCCCTGTTAAACTGGTCCAAAGCTAAGTCTGGATGTAGTGGTTTTTGATCTAGACCTCATCTGATGTGGAAAAAAAATTGTGATGTGCATTCAAAAATAGAATAAAGGTTTCACAAATGTGAAACTGTCTCAAACCAAAACATCAATAAAACTTGTCCTATCATTCAATGCAAGTCTCATATTTTCACTTCACTCAAGTGTCAAACTAAGTTTGACCTCAAGCAAATTCAAATACTTCTGGTCCATAATTACCACAAAAGCCATCACACCTGGGTGAAGGGTTCCTTGAGATTCTTATCAATAAACACTAAACATTCAGTTAATTCAATTATAACGCTTTAACATTTAAACTATGCAGGCAGGATAATGATCAGCTGGTCACTGTTTTCTCACATGATCACACAGTCAGACAGTATTTAGATTTGATAAAACACCATAATTTTCTTCATAAAACATGAAATTAGAAAATACACACTGATTAGGGCGAGGGTTAAATTCGGTGAAACAGAAAGCAGAGTTTGGTATAACTACAAACTGAAGAGATGAACATGGAGAAACAGCCACAGACAGAGTGTGAGGACTGAAAGGACAGTGAAGTCGAAACAACTTAAAACGCGTTCTCTTGACAACTGCAAAAGTTCAAGACTATAAAACAATAAAAACACACACATGCTTGAACTTTAAGAAGCATATGTATGAAACAAAGGCCTGTCTCTGATGTCAGGCTGCTTCAAATGAAGGTCTGATGTTTTAGACAAAATCTTTTTTTAGCCTCATCACAGCCAGTTACCCACAGGAAGGAAAACTGTTTAAGTGGATTCTTCCTTTAAAGTGATGGAATAACACACTGACTGGTCCATAGGAGGTCAGACTAGAGAGACATGTGGACAGGGTATGTCTTGTCACCTTATTCCAAGTCTTCTCGCCGTGATTAAACTTTACAGAAACCGAGCTGCAGCAAAAACACCAAACAAACAACGGCATCTGCTGGAGACTGAAAGTCATTACAGTTTCAGTAAAAACCAGGCCAAGAAACAGCCTGAACAGAAATAATTCATTTGATCATTAACCTCCTTCACCAAGAATAGTAACGACAGATAGTCAAACATCACTACTTCCACTCAAATAACTCCTCACTACTGTGTTATTTGTAATTTGGTGTTTTAAAATCATGTTTAAACATTGACATCTGTGACATCTGCTGGAAAAAACAAACAAAAAAAAACTATTCTGCAGAGATCTTGCTTTGTTGAGTGCAGTTCATCTAAATCTGAGTAGGACTGAGGGTGATTTTTCTTTCCCTTTCATTTACAAGATTTATTGTCTCAGGAGATCAAAGTGTAAAATATTCACAGAATAAACACTAACACTTTGACTGAATTTCATAATTTGGAAAAAAAAAATAAAACAGGGACAGAGAGTAAAAGACAGGTCCATATATTTCCCTGCACTAATTCATTGTACTGTTTAAAATGTTAAAAAATAAACTTTACAGCAGAATATTTAGTGGTTTGATGTTTTAGTGTCTCTGTTCTTCCACAGAAAATCATTTTAAAAAACAGGGACAAAGGTGTGGATAATGTTTCTGTCTCAGTATTTTTACACAAAACTTTAAAAATGAAAGCTGGAACACACCTGCTGGTTCTAAACATCCCACACTGATGAACGCTCTGCACTGCGATTGACTCATTATTGGAAGACGGATCACACAGACACGTGCAGCTCAGAGTGTCTTCAGCTGTGATGAACAATGACTAAAAACTGGATTTAAAATGGATAATAAAAAAGGACGTCAGGTCAGCTGACTGTCACTGAGGTTCCGCCATCCGGTTGCCATGTTAAAGGAATAGTGCGCATAAAAATCTGACCACTGAGCGCAACAAACTGCACATGTATGAACATAGAAACAGACTTATTCTGGAGCGCTGACCGGTGTGTTGAGATGCTCCGCCTCCGGTGTAGGCTGGGCAGGACCGCCGTTACTGGTCTGTGTGTTCCCGCCTCTTTGCCAAGGAAGCCCAAGGCACTTCCAAATCAAGGCAAGGTCAGCAACAAATGCCACCAGTGCCAAGAAGCCAAAAGCCTGGAAGAAAAAGAACCAATCACCTCAAGGAAATCGCTGGTGGGTGACTTTCATGACTCTGAAGTAGGAAAGAAAAGGAGACAGCAGAGAAGACAAAGAGAAGGTAAGAAAGGAAAAGAGGACGTAGAGAGTAAAATAAGGAGACAGGAAAAGAAAAGACAAGAAGGGAGGAATTATCAAACTGGCAAACAAAAGAAGGAGACAAGAAATAAATGCAGAAAAGGAAAGCAATGGATATGGAAGAAGGAAGAAACAGATAGGAAAAGAAAAAGGAAGGTAGACAGCAGAGAAGTAAAGAAGGTAAAGAGGAAAAGAACAGGCAAAGAAGGAAGAGTAGGTAGGGAGAAAAAGAGAAACTAGGGAATAAAAACAGGAGGTAGGAAAGGACAGCAGTGGAGAAGGAAGGAAGGAAAAGAGAAGGTAAGAAACAATGAAGGTGCTAAAGAAGTAAAGGAGGAGACAGGACAGCAGCGTTGAAGTGTCTGCTACAGACTTTGCGAACAGGTGTTTTCATACCACAGCAGCTCTCTCCGGGTTTGTGTTGCCGTTGTCAGAGGCAAAAACACAGGAGGAGATGAATAACAAGACAGCGATGCCAGCGGTGTAGAAGAAGTCCTGCACAGCACAAGAAGAAGAGGGTCAGCAGCCGACGACCTGATCACAGCCCCGGACCAGCTGTGGGTCAATTTTTGTTTGCTGAGCTTTATTGATTAAGAAAATCTAATTGAGAAAGTAACTAAGTACATTTACTGCACATAGGAACAGTTTTGAAGTATTTCTATACTTTAAACTTCTACTTCACTATATTTATCTAACACCTGTAGATACTTGTTCGTTTTCAGATTCAGATTACAGAATCCACAAATAAATTCTTATTATCTTATAGGTTAAGATAAATATTTTTATATCCAGGGGAAATTTACCTGCTACCCAGCAGTAAAGTACTTCACAATATAAGTATATAGGTGCATCTCAATAAATTAGAATATCGTGGAAAAGTCCCTTTATTTCAGTAATTCAACTCAAATTGTGAAACTCGTGTATTATATAAATTCAGTACACACAGACTGAAGTAGTTTAAACCGGTGGGTCTTTTAATTGTGATAATTTTGGCCCACATTTAACAAAAACCCACCAATTCACTATCTTAATAAATAAGAATATGGTGACATGCCACTCAGCTAGTTAACTCAAAACACCTGCAGAGGTGTCCTGAGCCTTCAAAATGGTCACTCAGTTTGG